GCATTAGCGGGAGCAGCGGTGGCGGCGGTAGTGGCGGCGGCGGGAGTGGGGGTAGCGGCTGAAGTGGAGGGGGGGCGGCTTACCTTTCGCGAGCTACGCGGCCGAAGGCCGGTGGGGGGGCGGCGGTAGTTAGCAAGCCACTCCCATCTGGTCACATGGGTGGTAAGCCACACCCACAAAGGAGGCCACGCCCACCGAGTAGGTTCGAAAAAATTTTGAAACCCACCCCTGGGTTATTGATACAGGGATGCAGTGGCTCAGTGGCTAAGACACTGAGCTTGTTGATCAGAAATGACGGCAGTTCGAATCCCTAGTGTTGCGTAATGGAGTGAGCTCCTGTTACTTGTTCCAGCTTCTGTCAACCTAGCAGTTCGAAAGGACGTAGAAATGCAAGTAGAAAAAATAGGAAACAATTTTGGTGGGAAGGTAACAGCGTTCCATGCACCAGCCACATGACCACGGAGACGTCTTCAGGCAACGCTGGCTCTTTGGCTTTGAAATGGAGATTACCACCACCCCCTAGAGTCGGGAACGACTAGCACATATGTGTGAGGTGGACCTTTACCTTATGGTTATTGATATAATTAACTCTGAGTCCTTTACTGAATTGAACTGAACTGGGTGGGCCAATACATATGTAGCAGAGAGATGGTCTGAGCTGCAGACCACACTGAACAAAATATTATTCTGTCTTTCCTGTTCATCATGTTATTATCTGACTAGCTGGAAGATAAGCACCTAGGGTTTTTTTGATAAATATTCCTGTGGGGAAGCTGTACGTACTCCACATGTGTGGATTAATGGGCATGGTTGAGCTTCAAAATAAAAGCTGATAGAAAACTGAAGTAACACCAAAGGGATGATGTTTGCCCATGAATAGAGAATTTTGTGCACAAGTACACATACAAGTGAGGTAAAGGTGCACATTATTAAATTAGGTTTGATTAATCTTCTGCTCAGGTATACATGTCTGAAGTGTATATTTTATGCATGTTCCTAGTTCCTGTGGTTATTGATTTAGGATGCTTTTATGTTTGAAGCAAGCTTCTTCATCTTCAAAGGGATTGAGATTCAAACTCAACAAGACCAACCAACATATACGCTGTGCACTTGCACAGGCAAAAATATCATCAGTCATAGTTATCTTATTTTCTTCATAAATTATATACTGATGACTTGGTGCATTTTGCCCGGCTCTTTCAGAGTTTTTGCTTTGAGTAATTCTAGGGGTTGGCTGTTGGAGCATTAGATGTGATGGCATCCTATGATATAGTCTGTGCCTTGCCTTCTTGTACTGTTTCCAGAAACTAAGTTATTGAGTTGGTTTAGTTGGCTATCTTGGCATTTTTAATTTTGATGCCATTTATTTATTTAGCCAACTAAATAAATGGCGGCTTACAATACAGTGTATTTGTGTTTCTACTCTACATTGCATTCTCTTGTGGCCTTTTGTCTGTGGATATACAATACATGCAAATAACTTTATGCCGCTTGGCTTGCTAACTCTCTCTGTGTCTCTGTGTGTGCATGTGTGCATGTGTGTTTGCACTGTTTGTGCAATTCATGGTACATTTTGCCACAAAAACATATTGGTTCAACCTGTTTGCTGCAGTTCTTTAGCACTTCAAGTGTAAAACAAAAGTTATTTTGCAGAGCTATGGTACATGCATGATTGCTGATTATGCTTTTGTATGAAGTATTCTGGTACTTATCTATCTATCTATCTATCTATCTATCTATCTATCTATCTATCTATCTATCTATCTATCTATNGGGGAGGATTTTTACCTGCCGAGCTTGTCAATTCCTCTCGGTCCTGAATTGCATGGCGTCATTTCGGCTTCATTGCTCGCCCCAGCTGGGCAGTTTCGTTTTGGGGAGGAAGGCGGCTGGTAGAGCCGAGGATTTATCATGCTAAAAAACACTGAGCGGCAGTTGGAAACTGCTGCGCGGCATTTTCTTGACACATGCGCGGCCGCTCAGCCGCACACCTTAGAGGGAACAGTGAGTGCAACCCACAGTTCTTCATTACAATAAAGTAGTGAAAGCTAGGATCTTCTATAATATTCCTACTTCTATGCCATTACCCACTTCTCAGCTTGGAGACATCACACGGGAATTGAATATAGATGTGGTATATGTTCTAAAGTTGGAAAATGTGTCTGCTTTACATTCAGATTTAAATAAGAATGTCCAACTAAAATTTAGGTTCAAAAATATGTACTAAGTAGGTTAAATTGAGATATAATGAACAACAGGATTATGATATGACTGTACCAGTTTCCACACAATATATTAAAACTGGAATGTTTTATATGGTTAAGGAGCTGAGCATCTAGTTGTTCTTTCATGCGGAGAAAGATGTTCTCCAAAGATTGTAACTTGCTGAGAACTGAAAATCACCATATGAACATGTCCAATAAATTCCCTCCCACTGATATTTCTGAAATGATGTCATGTTATAATTCTTTCTTGCAAGCAAACCTATACTCTCCACAATTAGGGTCATTGCTTGCGGAATAGTCTGTACACCTATAGTTATAGATCACAACAATTCTTTCTCTACAACTATATTTTATACTTTACTTCAGGATGCAAATGTCATCTAACAAAGGTCAATAGGAAGTGCTCATGTGCCGAGTTTCCTAATTTAACTACATAAGATGATTATGTAAATAAAATAAGTTATTCATAACATATTTTGAGGGGGGTAACAGCTTAAAATTCGACAAGAACTTACTTGTTGCATTGTTGGTGAATGTATAGCAGACTGCACTTGCATTGGCAGCTGATTTCCAAGGGATTGCTGCATCGTGAGTGACTGATGTTGTTGTATACTGAGATGTGGATGAATTGGAGGACTCATCTGAAGAGCTGGTGGAGGAGTTACAGCCAAGTTGGCTATTGAAACAGTCACTGGCATTTGGTTGTTAGGCTTAGGTGCTATATTCCTTGGAATATTGGGATGTATGGCTGTTATATGAGGATTCATTCCTGTTTGTTGGTGGTAATGGGAACCTAAGTACATTGCTGAATGAGGCTGTGTGGATGCATGGAATACTGGCTGCTTTGGGCTCATCATCTGAGGTTGCTGGGATACCTTAACATCCACAGGCTCATTGTAGCTCTGTTTAAAAAAGAAAAAAAAAACCACCATCAATTAGTAGACATCTGAGATGCGCAGTTATCCTGAGAGACAAGAGACCAATAATGTTAACATTAAAAAGAACTTCTATAATTTTTTCTCTATTTCCTACATTTTTTTAAATACCTGCATTATAAATTTGATGTTCTCACATAAATGCAGTAAAGAGTACAGTATTAACTCCCAAGGGCTTGCCAGCAGACATGTTCCTGAATAGTAATTTATATCTTAAGGAGAAGTTGAAGAATAACTATTGAATTATGCCATGAAAAAATTGATAAAATCTCCCTTTGAAAGCAAGTGGTTCTATGTCAAAACAAATGATGGAAGTTTCCCATATGTCCTTATTCTATGACCTTGATGTCACATTTGCTCCATTTTCAAGTCAAAATAAGTTTAATATGACTCTAAGCTTTCTAGGTCACTGGAGCCTGTGAGAGACATTTGTATTCTTTCTGATATATGCACTATCCACCATCAATCAGCATATATGCACATTACAGAAATTGCTTCATTATATGTAATAATGTACAGTGAAAAAACGATAACTTCATTTGCCCCCATCAAGCTTTAATAATGATAATAACAAAAATGTATTTTCTCCAGTAAACTGCACAAAATTAAAGGGAAATGATAAAGGGAATTCAATTCTCTGTGTATAGGTAAGAGTATGCCTTTCATTTCTGCTGAGTGGTTCATGTATACATTTCTGCACACAGAAAAATATATACTTGAAAAGGTGAAAAATATGAAGTGTGGCTTTTTAAAAACTAAGGCAAAAGTTGCATCAAAAAGAGTAGAACATGTCAATGGTATTTCATTCTTATACCAATAAAAATGGTAATAGAATTTAATTCTTTATAAAGTTCATTTTGTGAGTGATTCGTAACAGTTGTTCCATCCAAATATTGCATCTATAAAGAACTGAAAACTTTTTGAATGTTTTAGAACCCTGCCGCCAGATTCGGAGTCAAAGTACAACTGATCCAAGTTATACCCAAATAAAAAAAGAAACAAACAAAAACATTAATTTAAGAAAGAGTAGATATTGCATGGAGTCTGTGAATACTTCTGGCAATAATTTGAAAAGAGGGATGTCTTTGTGTGGGTGTGTGTATAATTTCCACACAGTTCATAATGTTTATAATTTCCCCAAGGATAAAAATCCTAAGAATTTTTGATGAAGAGTGAAGTTACAAAGGGCACAAGGAAAGCCACCAAACTGTTACAAAGTTAAATAAAAAAAATCTGAAAACTATGTTTTTAGGATTTATCAAGAAAGGTTTAATTATATTAATTCAAAATCTAATATATTTTAAACTTCTGAGGAAGAGAAGATTATTTTTCTGTGTGTGTTTTGAAAATAATGTAATCTTTATAAATGGTATAAAAATGTATCTGCTATTCTATATTTCAGGTATAAGAATTACATGTATTTAGAAGCATAAGCATGAAGCCCTGGCAGTCAGATCTTAGTTGGGTCTGATAATGCATAATAGGATATTAACTAACCATTCTGTGTAATCAGAACTCAAGAGAACTTTGTGAATGCAAATTATTATTCAGCCATCTTGAATGCAATGTAGAAATCCTTGAACCAAACATGAATACAAAGCATTATCTTTATGCATGATTCTCAGAAACTTGAGGGTAAGCATCCGTCTTATAATGAAGTTATTCTTCAGAGGCTGAAAGATTATAAATTATTTGTTACCACTGAAATGGATCATAACTCAATAGTATAATGCCTGTTGGAGGTCCCAAATATTCTATGTTGGAGGTCCCAAATTCAATGCCTGGCATTTGAAGAAAAATAATTCTGCTTGAAAGTCTGGAGAATTTTCACTCATTGTAAGAGCTGTCTTGTGGGGAGGTGGGCAGCAAAAAAGTTTGATAGACAGACAGACAGACAAAGGAACTTTGTATATTTTGCTCTACGCTGAAGTGGATATGGATTTCCTATTTTTTAAATTTCTTGGGATGGATTTTTATGTTGTATTCTCTTGGAACTGGAAACATAAAGTATTTAGGAATAACTTTTCAACAGATGAAGCGACAAATCTTGCCAGTTCAACAGTAACAACAGCAAAAGCCATGGGTAAGTAATGAAAAGTGCATTTTTTTTAAAAACAAAGTTGCAGCTCACCATATCTTAAAAAATGCTATATAATTTGTTAAACTACATGCAAAATTAATAAAAGTTGCAACTTAGAACAATGAAAAAGTTTCATTGTTTTAAATAATTTCATAACCTGAATAGCATTATCTAGAATGCTTTGTGAATTGATATTTCATTTATTCACTCCTACATATCAAGCAAGTGGACTACAAAACATTTTCATACAATAATGGTGATGATGATTCTGTTGCTTTGCATGTACATTGAGAGCTTCTGCACCAGTGACAAATTCCTTCTGTATCAAATCACACTTGGCCAATAAAGTATTCAAGAGTCAAATAAAGCATTCAAGGTTAATTTCAGTAACACTGCTCATTTACCAGTGACTAATTTCAGAATGGCAAAAAGGTTTGAGAATGTTCTGGCACATTTTCCAATATTATACCAGCATATATTTCTAACATCATTTTTAAATGAACATGGCCATTTTTAAAGTAATCCAAACAAAATTAAATATGCTAGACATGTTGGAAAAATATGTCAAAACAGTCGGCCAGTAAAGCTGCTGCTTGGCAGTTGTGACAATCACAACAGAATCATTATTCTGATATCTGAAGTCCAACATTATATCACACCAGGTTGCAGAAGCAACTTTATAGTGACTATTTTTTTATTTCCAGTCCTGCTCATAGTTTCATCCTGCAAAATTCTATGAACTGAAACCCATGTTACCTTTGATACAAGGCTTGCTCTATATGCAGCTAACTGCTTCAGATATTCTTTCTTAGCAGCTTCAGTTTTCTTTTTATATACCTTAAAAAAAGACAGAGAAAAGTCAGTAACAAAGTTAATCTTGTTTTCACATAAAATCTCATCCTCAAGAATACATTTATTAAAGTAAGTGTTATGCTTTTAATTATCTGTTTCCAGTAACTTTTTCTTGCAAGGAATAATGACAAGAGTTGAAATGTGAAAGTACAGATTATTTAGCTGCCAAGAGTGATGTGAATCATTAATCTGAGAACTAATTAAAAGAAAGAGGAGGCTTCAAAAATATAGTTATTTTGACCAAAACTACCATACTGCTAGACACATTATTGCATTAGCCTCACTAATACCTCTTCCAGATGTGTTGAATTACAGCTCCTATAATTTTCAGTTACCATGAATAAAGCATTTTTAGCAATTTATCTGTGATGATCATAACATAAAAAAATTCACTGGATAAGATCTCAATCAAATTAGGTTCATTTTGATAAAAAATTATCATACACAGTTCTGATTCAATAAATCACCGAGTTTGATATGGTAAGACATAGACTTAGAGAACAAGACAGCATTTTTTGCTACCTTTTCCTGCTCACTAGGAAGTCCCGGCTAACACTATACTGCCTTGCTTTAAGGGACAATTTTCACAATCAATTGAAATACTGGTTAGCAATACAATTTTCACCTGAGATGCTTGCCGACTCCAAAATAATGATGCATGTCTGACAGATAATACATTGGAATAATAATAAAGCCATTATTGTAATGGCTATTCAACATCATGAACCTGTCATAACAGTAATAGTGACAACAGTCATCAGCAACAAACTCAGAAGGAAATATGAATACATCATTCTGATAACATCAATTAACAAACATCTATATCATGTGTAAATGTCATTATCTAAAATATAAGAAAATTCAGTAGGGAGATATTCTGTAGTGCTGCATAAAATACCATACACAAACTGGAAATAAACCATGGATATAATTTATTATTTTTTGTTTATCAAATTTATATGGCTGCCGATCTCACACAAAGTGACCTTGGGAAGTGTACAAGAAAACATACCATTAAAATATATTACCAAACCAATTAAAATAATTAAAACAAATTATGTCTGAATTGGTAGTTGATTAGGATATTGTTTAATGCTTGATTGTTTTGTCTGGTATTGCTCTTGGTGTTAATTCCTACTGACCTGAGTGTTGATTGCTGGTTTGTTTTCTTTTTAGCTTTTAGTTCTAAATAGTGGCTGTTGCAGTCTTTACATTGCGTATTGTAGATGACTGCTGGTTTTTTCGTCTTGGGCTACTGGATCTTTTTAATTTCTTTTACTATGAACCTATTGTCTCCATGATGAATACGCAGAAAAAAAGTGTTTTTGTTAGTTTGCAGTGATATACTTCAAACTTATTAGGCCCATTATTTTAATATAAAGCTCAGGCATACACTTCCAAGTAATGCATTTCAAAACTATAAAATTATTTATGAAACAGCATTGCATTGTTACAAAATGAGCTTTTTTTATTCCACCGAAGTGATGGTTTTGACAGCATGCAAGTTTCTCTTATCTTATCATTTTAAGTTTTCTTAAAATGATTAAAGATTTTACATCCCAGGAAAATGTAAGATCATCATTAAGAAACCGGCATCCTATGATTCCAAGGTTATAAATATAGAATGAAATAAGAATAATATGTTGATTTTAACTGTGTGCTGGCATGTGTACTTTCTTTTGCAATTTTTCAGATTGCAAACCTTTGCACATTTTGTTTCAGTGATGATTTATAACAAGTAATCTTTCTGAGTTGATTGGCTGTAGTTATTGCTAAAATATATTGTTTGTTTCAAGAAAATGAAACACCCATTACTTGAAAGTTTTTCCTCTCTGGCAGCTAAAATTAAATCTGAAAAAACAGGCAAGAATGTAAATTTCACTCTCTTTGAATACATCTGCATAATTTTGTTATTTCATATTCAAAACAAATACTAAACATAATAAGAATAATATATCACATATTTATTTCTGACATTTCTTATTCCGTATGTCCAATTAATGGTAGTTCTATAGAACTTTATACTTAAGTACTATTATGTCAGTTCATCATATGGATACCATTTCCTCTAGTCATATACTATTTAATACTCAATACTCAAAGATTAAGGGAGAGAGTTATTAATATTATTTTATATCTGAAATATAACAAAAGATTCTAAGATGGAAAACACACTGTTGGAGTAATTGACATAGCTGAGTCACTCAATGAATCTCTATATTCTGGATCAGGGCTGTCAAACTCCTCGCCCACATGCTGGATGCGTCACGTACTGGCCACACCCCTGCCCAATTTAGTGAAGGGGGAAAAAGTTCCAATACATCACGTGATGCTGCCATAATGACATAAGTTTGACATCCCTGTTCTGCACCATCAAAGTTAGGAAACAGCAAGTTGTATAACAGTCATGGCATAAAAGAAGTGTAATTTTCTGTCAATGTAGTAGAAACAAAGCATCTGAATTCAATTAAGAATTACTATATTAATAGGTATGTTACAATCAAATTATATCATCATCAATGGGTGATTCCTATATAAGACACAACAGGTTTGATGAAAGCATCTGAAATATATTTAGAATAATTTGTGCAAAACTTCAGATAATTCTTAATCTCTGGATATCTCCAAATTTACAGTGAAATCTATATTTACTATGTTTGGTCTGCAAGGAAGCCTCCTGGCAAAAAACATATTTTATCAACAGCTTGGCTTACAGTCTATTAAGCATAGTTGTAGTCCAAAGAATAGAAAGCCACAAATGATCTATTTAAAACACACAAAGATGACCTTTTACATATGGAAACATAGCATTTTAAAAGCACAACAATAGTAATTTTATTAGAAACTTATGCCAAGAAAGAAGTGCTACTGAAAATATATTTTTTTGAAGGTACTTTTTCCTCTTTCTCTGAAGCCCAGAGAATTTGACTATTCCTGAAGACTGTCAATAACCAGGAGATACGTTCTCAGATGTGCAATAACAAGGTTCACAGTTTTTTGTACAGAGTTTATCTTTCCTTTTGTTTTCTTATGTTTGTATGAGACATATATAGAGTATGTGTTAGGAGGGAAAATGTAGAACAATTCCAAGTCAGATGGAATTCACTGATGGAAAAGGATTTGGATATCTACAGATCAGAAACAATATAATGTGATCACCAAACTTTCTAGTCCCTCTTCCCTCTACCAGATGTCAGGGGGCATGGCTTACTTCTTCCTTAGTGATACTGGGGCCAAATGCTAGTTGTGTACAACAAACATTATTCATTATGACTTGATTATAAAAATATTGACTTGGCGTGTATTATTGACTGTTACAGATGCATTGGTGATTGAGTTCCAGCTTGTTACCTGATTTGAGGTTATAACTCACTTAATTTTTCTAAACAGCATTACTTCTAGTTAAAGGATAAGTTGGTGGAGCTAGTAAGAGCACCATCTCTCTTAATGGAAGACCTGTAGTTGGCAATCGGTCAATAAGACACAGCAGGAATTCTAGTTTTAAAGCACCAAACCTGCGGCCCAAAGTAAACTGGCTGAAATAGTGTCTAGTAAAGTTTGGAGCTTAAGCTTCTCCCTGGATTTTGAAGAGCCCCAGATGATGAAACTGACCAGAAGATATTCATAGTGCATATGATATAAATATTCTGGGGAGGTTTTTGAACTTATGTTAATGTAAAGAGTCATGTCCTCTGTGACAGTGAAAGCGGAAAAAATTACTTTGAAACTTAAATTGCATCTTCAAGTAGTCATCAAACAGCTTTTGTTACAAGTACTTACTGTCACCTACACTTAATATTCAGTGTTACAACATTTAAAGGTCTGTTGAGATAAATTTGCAAGGCAATTCAAATTTAAAATAATTTTTGGATATATATTTTTTGCTTGTTGAAATATAATGCCTACTGAGAAGTCCAATGTACTGTCTATATATGAAGTTATTTTCAATTTTTGAAACTTGAGAATATGGACTTGATGCTTGAAACTTCTTGGGTACACATATAGCAATAGCAGTAGACTTATATACCGCTTCATAGGCCTTTCAGGCCTCTCTAAGCGGTTTACAGAGTCAGCATATTGCCCCCAACAATCTGGGTCCTCATTTTACCCACCTCGGAAGGATGGAAGGCTGAGTCAACCCTGAGCCGGTGAGATTTGAACCGCTGACCTGCTGATCTAGCAGTAGCCTGCAGTGCTGCATTTAACCACTGCGCCACCTTGGCACATATCATCTTGACCAATGCTTATACTGGGTTAGTTTAATTTAATGATTGACTAGATAAACCCAGGAATGAGAAATACTGTATTTATTTATGTGACAGGTTATCAGACTTAAAGGAGATAGTAGTCTTAGAAGCATCAACTATTAACCAACCATAATTTTCTCTTTCTTAGCTGGTATCTGTGCAACTACAATGTTAACATTCTTGGAAAACACTATTAAATTTTAGTTCAAGTTTGGTTTTGAGATAGAATCGACTTCCAAATTACATTATATGAAGGAGAAACAATAGTAATGCATCTAGTAATAGTCATCAGAAATGTTGAGTCTGGTGGTGTCAATACACTAATAACACTTATTTTCTGAATAAGAAAAGGCCAGATATCTTCTAAGCAAGTATTAAAATACCCATGTATATATCATGATACAGAAGATAATGGGCCAAAAACTTAAATTGAAGCTAAATGAAATCTTGCTTTATCTCTTGTCTCTTATCATCTTCAACAACAACAAATTCAGACTGATCCTGATTTCACCTATATTCTATGTCAGATTGTGCTTTTGTGGGAGCAAGGAAGTGGAGGGAGATGGGTAGGAATTCATATTGGTGGATGGTTGGTGATTCCCAGCAAAGTGTTATCCATAGCCTTTTGAAGGTCTGAGTGCAATAGAATCCAGGGTAGTTATTTTGAATTTAATGGGGATGAGGTTGAGAGTGAAGATGTTTGGATGTGCTCTGTGGCCTGGGAGAAGCGATATAGGA